TGGGTACTGGGATTTCTGGTTTAGTGCCCGGAGTGGGAAGTAATGGTCCTGGAGTGGAATCCCCTCGATTGGGTGGGTTTCGTAACAGAGGTCCAACCGTGACTCCAATAGGTCTAGTGGACTTCCTTAATCGGTTCAGCCTGTCTTCTTGGAGTTTAGCTAATCCGATAGCAGCAATAAGGGTTGAAGGTTGCAGTGATTTCACTTCAATCCTTATGTCTTCCCGTAATCCCCCAATAAAATAGCCAACCAGAGCAGTTTCTGGCCAGCCATGCACACGGGTAGCTAACCTCTCGAATTCAGTCTGATATTCTCGTACGCTACCAGTTTGACGTGGGACAGTAAGTCATCAAAATTCTCATACCCAGATGGTCCGAACCTCACATGTAAGGCTTCGGTGAAGTCCATCTAAGTAGTTTTCTGGTACCATTGGTACAACATAATGGCCTCCCCGCCCAGGTGGATGGAGGCAATAGGCACTCGTTGATGCGCCGGGGTCTCATGGTATTCAAAATAACGTTCAGCTCGATAAATCCAGGGTATCAGATCATCACCTGAGTAAACTGGGAATATGATTTTCGTCACCTTGCCTGGGGAGATCCCGCCGTGTCTTCATGCGCTGCTACTGGATCCTTCAGTTTCTGGTTCCCTCGCCATGGGTGTTGACAATTGCTCGAACTGTCCCACCAGTGCCGATAGAGTCTCCTTGATGTCTCTCCTTTCTGATGTGGTTCAGTGAACTTCTACTTCAATACGATCGACCCGTTCATCTAGTGCAGTTGATCTCGTGTTAGTCATCGGTGCTAGGCTCTGATACCAGTTGGTAAGACCACTTTGAATTCTGAGAATCTGAGCTGGTTTGAGGGAGCTCACCCTCCTGAAACAGAGTAGAAGGGAGGAAGAAGATAAAGAAAGGAGTAGAAGAAGAAGGAAGGAGGAGAATAGTAGGGTTTTCTTTCATGCCCAGAACAGATGGGGTTACAATTATTTATACTCTTCCTTCAGTCTCTCCTGCACATGGACTCGACTGTGACTGCTAACCAACTGGAGGGACGTGGCCTCCTCACGTAAACGAACCTCGGTGGAGGTTGCACATGGGTGATCAGGTGTTTCTCTCGTGCCGGGCCTGGTTGCGACGTGTCTTGGGCCTGGGTCTCCTGTTGTGGGCCCGAATAAGTAGTTGAGGGCCTATCAGGCTCCTTGTGAAGGTATAGTGCTTTGATACCAAGTTGTTTATCTAGGATCAATTTGCATAAGCTTATTAATCAAAAAAACAAAAAAAAATCAATTTGCATAAGTTTGTTGGTGATTTAAGAGAAAGTAGAAGAAGAGAAGAGAAAGGGATAAAGATTAAAGAGTAGAGGAGAAAAGAGATATGCCTTTGTAATCTGTGTATGTGCTTTTTTAGTGTCCCTTTTGTGTACATATTCTCATGTACCCCTTTCTTTTTTAATGAAATCTGTTATCTTTCAGCTCAAAAAAAGAATAGTGGAGAAAAGTATGGTTGGTTGTTTGATTCACATGCCCACCCACCAATTTTTATTGGATCTGATTCAATAGGGAAAGGACATATGTGACCCTCTACAACTTGTATAATGACAGGAGTCACGTGACAATATCAAATACATAAAATCCCAAATACCCTTACAACTCAATAGCTCAACAGAGGTGAGGGCACCAACAAAATGAGACTTTCCTGTGACCCTAGGCATGCCTTTTCAAACAATGGTAACAAGTAACAACAATTCAATCCATAAAAAATAAAATAAAAAGTTGCAACAGCTCAAATGAAACTGAGGCACTTAAAAAAAACCAGAATTTGATACAATTCTCATGACTCAAAAGTCAAAAGGAGATGGATCATTTTTCCCTATCTGACTACATATCATTATTCACTTGATACATGTAGGTATTTCCTCATTATTTGACAAGGAGACATAAATTTGCATTGGATTATTTAATGTCATATTTGTCTTAAACATTAGACTATTGTTACTTCTAAATCACATATCCTTTTTTTGTCATATCTTTATTTTTATGCCTAAGGTCATGGTTTTCAAGGCACCAAGGTGAGGTACCTTGTTGTCCAACATGTACACGTCAAATAAGTATAAATCTCATGTAAAAACATAGAAAGTTGGCATATTCATGAGAAGAAGAAAGAATAGAAAACCTAGAAAATTTAGGGGCTGAGACCTTGTTTCTATCTTAGAAAAAGCAAATTAAAAAAAAATTAGAAAATAAAACAGAGAGGGGGTGGGTCCCTTATTATAGTCCTAGAAAAAAGAAGAAAAGAAAGGGGTGGATACCTTGGTTGCTCTTGTATGTTGATTGGATTAAATCTTCAAGTTCTTCATTACTTATTGGTTCAGGTTTTGAGGTCCTAAAAGGGTTCAAGACAATGTCACCGACTTGTGTGTCTATCAAAAACCAAAATAAACAAGAAAACAATAAAAAGAAACTAATATAAGAATTATAAAATTATTAAATCCGCAAAATGAACAATTTAGTTTAATAATGTCCATTGTAATGTTATAATATCAATAAATAAAAAGTATGAAAGTATCATGTGGCCCCTTGTACAAAAACATGTAAGCACTTGGGTGAGGCGACCCCCAAGGGCACCTTGTTCTTGAGGTGCTGTGACTTTGAAGAAATCTCTATTGCTCTTTCCATTCTTCTATTTATAATGTCATGCTAATGCCATGGACTAATGGTTTGGCAAGGACCTCCAGTTGTGAATTGTGAACATATGCATCTAAGTTGTGCCATTGAAGATGTTTTCATAGTGCTGTCAATAGGTCAGGTCTGGAACTGGTCTGAGTAGACCTGGTCCCCAACCGATAAATAAATATGCAGAACCAGTCCTGAACCAGACCCTATAGGATCTGTAGTAACAAACCGAGAACTGATCCATTTTTTTTTTTTTGATGAATGAATGGTATTTTATTAAATAGAGATAGAAATAGTACAAGCATGAAGCACCCTAAGAGGAAGCACGAGGTGTTACCTCCCCTTAAAGATGGTTCCAAACCCAACTCTTTTCAGATTGCAGTTACAAATTAGCCAAAAACAGAGAATCCCTTGAAGCCCCTTGTTTAGCCAATTATTAAATGGGATTATTGGGTCTGACAAGATTATAATTTACAGCTCTACTTTAACCTTTAATTTGACAATAAACCTGCTCATTTGTTAAATTACACTTAAACTCTTAAAGACATGATAATATAAATGTATAATAATATTAAAATTATTCCATGAGAAGGACAGGTATTGGAGTGGGGGTATCTTTGTAATATGCTAATAATAGTCGCTTCAAGTCTTAATTGGCTAGAAACAACCAAAACTGATCCCGTCCCAATTATAATAGGGATATAATATCAAAACCCAGAACCAATCCCATTATAATCAGGACGTGTAATGTAGACCCAGTCCGTATATAATAGGGTTGGTTTTGTTCAGTTCTGTCAGGTCCATCTGATCCATTGACAGCTCTATGTTTGGGTCATTTTACTGTGAATTGTGACTTACAAGAGTATCAATCTCTATTTATTAATTTTAAATAGTTGTTGGAAAGTGTTTTGTTGTTGTTTTTTCCCATCTGCATTGAGATGTTTAACTTAATATAAGCCATCAAATTTCTAGTCATGTGTCAATACTCTCAATCAAAAAAAACAAATTCAAAGTTATGATAGGTGACAGAAGAAGGATTAAATTTTGGCAAAGACATTTGGTGTGGCAACAGGGCATTGATGGAGGAATATCCATCCCTATTCTTAATATAAGAAGACAGGAGTGTAAGGGTGGCTGATCTATGGACTATGTGGGGAGGGAAGGAATATGGTGTCCAAAGTTTAGGAGGCAGCTGAACGAATGGGAGATTACAGACCTGGCCAGATTGTTGCAACAGCTTCAGGAATACAAGCTGTCTCCAAACCATCCTGATGAAAGAATTTGCAAGTGGTCCAAGGATGGAAGGTCGTTTAGTGTTAAATCTTTCTACAATGATCTAGCTGAAGGGAGGGGGTAGAATTTTCCCTGGAAGGAGATCTGGATGTCTCATGCCCCGTCTAAAGTTAGTTTCTTGGTGTAGTCTGTTGTGAATGGGAAATTTCTCACTAAAGTCCAGCTAGCTAGAGGGGGTCTGGGATTGGAATCTCTGGAGTGCTTGATGTGTGGTCAGGCAGAAGAGTCAGTGGATCATTTATTCCTGCATTGTAGGGTTGCAGATTTGCTATATGGCCACTTCTGTAAGCTTCTTAATGTTAGCTGGTGTCTTCCAAGGAATTTCTTTGACCTGTTGAAGGCTTGGAAGCTTTGGGGGCTGAATAAGAGGGGTAAAGTGCTGTGGGGTATGATTCCTCTAGTGGTCAGCTGGATCGTTTAGAAGGAGAGAAACTAAAGGGTGTTTGAATCCAAGAGGTCTGAAGATGATGTCTTGCACTGAGCTACAGAAACGTTACATTCTTGGCTGTCAGCCCTTGTGCAGTTCAGAGGTCTCCCACATCATCAATTTTTTGAGTTCAGTATTTTATTTTGCTAATATGTAATCTACTCTGGAGTATATTCCTTCTGAGGGGTTTTTTTGGGTTTTGTTTTGGGGGCCTGGGTTTTAGTTGGTCCTTTAGATGTATGGTTTCTGGCTGTACATGTTGCTTACAAGGATCATACATGTAATTTTGTTTTTGGATAGTGGAGTTCAATACAATACCTTAACCTTTTTTTCAAAAGTTATGATCATCCCACCTCTTGTACTATATGTGTATGATGACAATTTCAGGTTTACAATACAATTAATCCCGAAATAAAAATATAACATTTACTCTTCCACACTTCCTATGATGGATTTGTTTATTCTGGCAGTTATAAGAGATTTTTTAGCATTTTTTTCTTCTATTTTTGTGAAGGCTACATTCAACAACTTATTGTGGTTATTCATCAAAAAAAAATTATCGTAGTTGTGTCGTATATTTCAATTCACACCAATACCTTGCTTGCAGACCCTCGGAGATCTGTTAGACCCACTTCTGTAGGCAACTCTGGGTTTGTTACTGGAAAGGTACATGGTTTCTGGAGTTCAGCATAAATGTGTATAGTGATGCTAATATTCATGTCTTTCTTTTTCTGGCTTGTGGACCAACATGTTGAAATATTAATTGGCACCATATCCTGGAAAATTGTCTTGCAAATTTGTTAAGTTGCTCTAGTTTTCTATTGGTTGGATAGAGAAATACCAAAATAAAGGTATACAGCTTCAAAACCCAACCCGAAGGCTTATCTGCTTATCCCTCCAAGTGGACTATTTGACTGGTTTGCTGTCCAGGGTAATGGGTCAACCTGTGATGTGACAACAATAAAAAATTAGAAAAATAAAATAATATAAAACCAGGTAAACCAATAAACAGGCCAACAGTTCAACTTTCCAGGTTGTTGAGGTTGACCAAGTCAATAGTTTTTTTATAAAATGGCAGATTACAGGTTGACAAGAATCAGAATCATGACCAGGCCACTGGGTCATCAGTCTGACCAGCCAGGTGAACAGTAGGTTGAAAACGTTGGTATGCAGTATATGCATACACTTAAAAAGGCATTGAAAGCAGTATTGCAAATTAAGCCAAGCTTATCTTATAAACTGAATTATTTTTATCATGAAACTTTATGGTCTATGAGGGTACCGCCACCCCCCCCCAATAAATCCAAGCAGTGTCAAAATTCATTGATTTCTTTTTTTTTTTTTTTTTGTTAATTTTGATGAGACAGGCAGGATTCTCCGATCTGACTTCAAGCCCAAGTAGTTCCTCCACTCCATCAAACAAAGTCAGTGATTCTGGTAAATTAAAAGACATTCTTGCAGCACTAAGACCTAAGGTATATCCCTCCCTTTCTTATTAATAAAATCATTATTCACTTATCAGAAAAAAAAAAAAGACCTAAGGTATATCCCCTACAGATCTCTATATATGGTTCTGTTTTTGAGCCAGGCCTTTTTCTTGTCTTCATTTCATTGCTTGTTGACACCCTTGCCTCTTCTATTGACAATGGGCTGTACTGTAGGGCAAATACATTTAGATGATATCCATCTAAATCCAGAAAAGGAATTAGGGTCGCATTTAGTGTTGTTTACAGAGAGCCTTTGCTGCACAGCATTACTATACTCTTATCTGTCTCACCCAAGTTTGTTTTCCATCAAGGTAGATTCTTCTTGATTCATGATGATTTGCAGTCTTCATTATCTCTGAGCAAGCCAAAACCCAAGCAAAGCATTTCTCTGCTGTTTCTTTGTCTTTGAACACATTAACATTCCAGTGAGAGAAATGAACTGTTTCTTTAGTGGTGAATGGGGAGTCATTGTAAGAGAAAAATGATATTTTTTGGGTTATCCTAATACAGAAAAAGTTATGAATGAAAATTGTACAGAAAAGGATAATGCTTAACAAAAAAATAAAAGAATTTTTTTAGCATTATTAGTTTCTTATAACTAATAGAACCTCTTTCATCCATGTCTATAAATTGTCAGAAGCTATACTGCATATGCATATGTGAGGAGGAAAAAGAAGTTTATATAGAAGATAGGTCACTCGGGCCTCTTCCATAGATAGTGTACCCAATTTCTGCCACAGTGGAGGATTAACTGATTATCAGATAGGAGACACTATAACTTCATATTGCATTCTTGTTAGATTGGATGGTATGGTCTGATATAGATCCAACTATGATCAGAAAAGCAGGACCATTTAGCATCCCTGCTGGTCCAAAGCAGTATCCAGGTTTGGTATTATCAGTTAGATTATCAAGCCAACCTGATTAATTATAAGGAGCCTTTTATCTTTCATCTGGAATTCCTTTTCCCTTTACCTATATAAAAGTCTATTTTGCATACTGCTTCTAGAGTCATTCTTTATTATTTAGATGAGCAATCATTTTAACTGATATCTAGGTGATCTCTTCTCTTTCTTTGAGACCCTCAACCCCAAGCATGGTAAAATTTCACTTTGGTTGGTCCATATTTTATGAGGTTACAATCTAACATGTTGAAATAATATCTAAAAATGGGTCTAGGCCCCATTGCAGGAATCTTCAGAGGATCAAAGTGAAGGAGATGACCAGGATGACAAGGGACAATAGGAAAAAGGCTCACATTCATGCTCAACTTTGGAATTGTAGGGATTGGGTGTAACCCATCCATGGAATTAGTTGCTGACACTTGATTTCTTTTATGGAATCACTGCCCCTGATTATTTGAATTTTTTTCAGATTTCAGTTGCTGACATAGACAATCTACTTCAGAGAGGTCTGATGTCCTTAAAAAGAGCCTTCGTCACATTTTTTTTTTTTTTGTGAAAGTAATGCTTCAGCAAATTATCTTTCTGATCAGATGGTTGAAGCTGTTATCTATTAAAGAATGCTGCAGGTCTGATCCATTGATTCCAAAAGCTCGTTTTTGAGCTTGTTACAGCTTCACGTTTTCTGATGATGCTTGTGTCTACTAGAACAAATATGCACAACCATATTCCGAGGATTAAGAAGTTTTACCTGGTAAAATTCTGGATATTGGAGTACTTGGTCCAAAGACCAAAAGGATACAGGGAGGGGTAAGCTTGAAGCTTTTGAAAATTTCAAGGGCGGCATTGAGCATTGATAAAATCATAAAAAGCACTCCATACATGCTTTACATGTATATGAACATACAGGCAAGAAAAGTTATCATGTTAAAGAACTGTACTTTTTTATAATAAAAGCTTAAAGTGCTTAAGGTTTAGATCTTGTTTTATTTTCGTTTTGGTGATTCTTGATTAGAAGGCTAGTTAGTCGTCATTTAAATGAGTGACAAGTAGATTAATTTATTTTCGTTTGTTGGAAATTCCTTGTTTGACTAGGCTGAAGCCCGTAACACGGTAACAGATCTCCTAATGTGCTATCCACTTAAAATTCGAGGTTGCTCGTGGTACCTACAACTACAATAGACTTGTCCAATGAAATGAAACGAGTGTCCAGACGCTCCATAAAAATTAAAAAAAAAAAATAGAAAGACCAAAATGTGTTTCAACTTCTGAACGAATTTTACTAAATATAAATTTTTATACAAGTAGACATTTAAATATTATCAAATAATGAGAATATTAATATCAGATCAAATGGGTGAACCCATATTGGGTTCCAATTCGAGCAAAATGGATATTTAGTCCTATGCTTCCTTTAGAAATTGCAACCATGCGAAGTGCTTATAGGCAGTTTGGAAACGATGCAAATATGTAATGTAAAGTGGTTCATACAAATTTTAAAGTAGGGTTAGTTTTGCACTGATAAATATCATTTTTTTTAGTTGTAATGAATGTAAACACGAATTTCAATAAAACACATGCATTTTTTTTAACAAAAACCCACTTGAATGCAAATTTACTTTTTTTTATTAATATATTTTTACATCTTATTATCAATATAAATATGCATTGATACGTCATTTGTCAATGCATAAATATCCACACAGGCAAAAGTGAATACACTCCATTTGCATCGTTTCCGAGCGCATCCAAAATTTGAGCAGGGAAATCCACGCAAGATGCATCTTGCAAACCAAGGGAGTAGCCACAAGCATTAGCGTGAGGAGTAAAACATAGAGTTAATCCATGAAAACCCGCACCATTGATAACCGGTAATCTCATAATCCAAGTCCTAGACAATGTTTTCGTCGGGCTTGTAAACGTTAACAAAAGAAAAATAGTGATTTACACTTGGGATTATAATTGGCAATTTCAGGGACTGGATGGACACATTGTCGACTTAACAGCTGCTAGTTTGTCCCATTATCCATCAAAATGTCAGCGGAGCTGGATTCATCATTATTCATGGTTCTGGACCTTCTGGTTTTAGAACTATACATTCTTTTATTTATTATTATTTTTTTTTAAACGGCTATATTTTCTTGAACCTCACAAATCACAGAGTAAGAAGGCTGAGCATCATCAATTGTGATTGATGTGTACATCTACATACTATTTAGTATTTACTTTTGATGCATGAGACACATCATGCAACTTCCAAGTTGCCTGGTTGAGAAAGCCATGGAATAGCATACAAATAGTTTGCAGAATACTGATTGCATTGGTGAACGAAACACAATGAAACCACCAAGTAAAAGTAATCTCACAAACACTGCGTATCCATTGACCATCTTTCTCCGGTCTTAAATGGGAAAAAGACGCATCGTTTGATAACGCAGCAACATTTTAACCACCCCAGTTTTGTGGTAGCCATGCAAATCCAAGCGTATGTAAAGCAATATATAACTCCTGCACAACCTTTTGTCATCTCAAGTATAATCTCAGAATATTTTCTCCACTTTTGACAACAAAGTATATTTGAATTGCCGATGGTTTCTCCATAAATTGTCCTACATTCCAAACATTCTATTGAGATATCACAAGTTGGCATTAACAAGGAGAAAATACGATTCCACTTTGCTGATTCCCGACAAATAAAATCTTCCACTAAAAAAACAGAACTGCAGCCAACATTCTTGCCAAATGGATGACTTTATCTACAGTCTCCTCCCTCTTCTCCCACCCTTTCTACGGGTGCTGTCTGTTGGGATTGGTGTGACATCCTCTGAAACATCAATGAAAAGAAGTATTAGGTTCTTGAACTCATAAAGACAGGTAGACTACATCTTTCGATGTATTGGTAGAGATATGTAAGAGGACTCAGTCACTCTAAGATTCAAAGAGGGGGTGTATAGATTCATTTCTCAAATCCAAGAAAACTGAGTTCCCCTTCTAAATATAAATTGTCCATGTGCATGCATGTATCCATCTAAGATTTCCTATTCATTGCTTACCGAGGAACATAATTCCTACTTAAGATGAGAAGTTGCAAGATGTAAATTATAGGTATATCATGCAGAACTAAATCGTTCTTGTGCTTGCCAATAATGTCAAAAACTGGCAGCAGAGACATTTTTTCTCTAATATTGATAAAGAAATATTAATGATAAAAAGGGATTATCAAGAATGGACAGACCAAGACAGAATGAATCCCCACCATATTAGCAATAACAGCGATATGGATCAAATTTAGAACTTAGCACCATATTCAAATTGATGCCTTACCAATGCGACCAACTTTCATGCCTGATCGAGCTAGAGCTCTTAGAGCTGATTGGGCACCTGGACCAGGTGTCTTTGTCTTGTTTCCTCCAGTTGCACGAAGCTTGATGTGCAAAGCTGTGATCCCAAGTTCCTATATAGAAATTTAACAGGAAAATCAGAAAATGCTATTTGCATTTTGAACAGCATAAAAAAATCCATCATTTTCTTTTGAATATATAAAAATCATCATCATATCTAGGCCTTATCTCAACTATATGGGGTCAGTTACATGAATCCTGTTTCACCATTCTGTTCTATATAGTGCCACATGCATTATTAAATGCCTAAATAAATTGAAAAAGAATTATATGACAAAATATAGCAAGATGAATCCACTGCCCTTCTGGCCAAAGAAATCATCATTAATAAATAATTACTCGAAATTTCCAATCCACAGAAATGCAGGGAAAAACACAACAATTGTCATGGCCTGGTTTGGCAGGGCAAAGACATGGACTAGAAATAGCACTTGGCCTTCTATCAAAGCACTCTTCATTTTGGTACGATATCAAGTACTCAATACATCAAAGAGGTTAGGAAAATGCAGTGGGCATACTTTGCATCGCTGAGCAACATCCTGAGCTGCAAGCATAGCAGCATATGGTGATGACTCATCCCTGTCTGCTTTTACCTTCATACCACCTGCATGTAGTAAAAAGAAAGTTACATGACATGCATACCGAAGTTTCTGTTTGGTCTGGTCCAGGACTAGAGAAGGAAAGGAAATTTCCAAGTAACTCAAAAATTGTAAACAATCAAGGCACTCCATTGTATTCAACAAGGGTAAAACCTCCATAGTAATTAATTCAAAAAAAAACAAGTGCACTAGATTATAGTGATGGTTTCTCTGTAACCTCTTGAGTCTACACTGTAATAAATGATGTTAGTAGACTGGTATTCCAAAATGTAATCCGCTTTTAAATGTACTCAGTTTAGTGAACTGAACAAACTGAAAGCAGCATCCATATAGTAAATCAGAAATCATGATCAATATTGTAAATTCAACAAACAACCATATACGAATTATTATAGGAAAAAAATACCTACAAAATGTACAAGAAAAATAATGGTTGAAAACCCAAAAGTATGAAAGCACTATGAAGTAAGGTCTATGACATTCTAGAAAAGGATCTGCACTAGTAGCTTCTCCAATGTTTCCCCAACTTGCAAAGTAAGAAACATCTCTAGTGCTGCATAATTTATATTTGCCATTTCATCAGCAAAGAATAAGTTTGTATTCTTAAGTGATCAAAATGAAAATTCTAACTGAAAAGGAAGCAAAACAAAGAGGGGTTAGTTTTAAAACAATAAATAGATAAATAAAGGAAATAAGGCAGTGCATCAAGTTTTGCAACACCTTTTTAGGATTTTCTTGGAACTAGGAAAGAGGAAAGCATTTGTCTTTTTTAGTTTGAAGTATTCACAAACGATAAATATGCTGTTGGGACCTGCTCTGTTCAGAGCTTCTTCAGTCCCCTTCATCCACTTCATCCCTCCTTGCATCTCTCTGCAGAGTTTTTACTTCTTGGTTCTCAATTTAACTGGTACTTCATAATCTTGAAATTCATTTTTAGTTTATTCTATATTCTTCAAAATAACCCACTATAAAAGTCAAAACCATGGCTTCCAACTTATTTTACTTAAAGGCATCTCTTGTAATGTAAACAATTTTTTTCTTGTAACACTGATTCTTCATTAGTGCTTTATAGAACTGGGTTTTTTTTAATTTTTTGAGAAAAAGCAAAGTATTGACATTTCACCATATGATGTCCAAAACAAAATCTCTGTACAACTAGAGGCAGTACAATGAGAAAATATAAAACTCCCCTAGTCCTTATAAAGATACTATCCCTTGACTATTCAAAAAAAGACTGTCATGTGCACAAAATGAGTTATATTTCCTTTAAAAAGTTTACTATTTTCTTAATTGTATCAACTGAACCATGCCTGTTGTGAAAAGCTCTCCCATTTCTCTCCTGCCAAATAACCCAAGAAACAGCTTCCAGATTTATAATCCAAGCAATTTCCCTTTTCAAGTCAATCCCTGCAAGCTCCACCCATTTAGAAACTCTGCAACAGTAACTGGACAGCAACTTCTTACACCAAACATAGACAAAGTTCTAGTCGATACAAACAAAGAGAAGCTGCAATGCAGAAGTGGGTTGTCTGCTGATTCCAAGCAACCCTCACATAATGCACTGTCTCTACTCAAGTTCACCCCTCTCCTTATCAGATTGCTCAATAGTACTGATTTCAAAGTTATTTTACACTCTTGGCCTGTTAGAACTCAGACTGCATAACATGCTCACAAGAAATAAAAATGATCGAAAGTACCTTTTCATTGCCTTATTAAGTCTGATGAGTTATAGAGATTACCATGTTTTAGAATGGAAGCCAGAAATTGTAAAAAAAACTTCAATTGATACTTTCTTTTTTCGGTCTTTGTTGAGCTTCAACTTTTAAAGGGCTATGGCTTCCAAAGAACATCTCACCAACCATAAAAGAAACCAAGAACTTTCTGGGTTTTATGGCTTTCAAAATCCCAGCTACAGCCTAACCAAATAGAGCTCAAATTTCTAGCATGTAAAGATTTATATGGTATAACATCTCAAAGCAGAGTAGATCTAAAAGCATCCATTCAGTATGCATTGCTGCATCCAGCAAGTATTGCGCCTGACACCAGTATGCTAGGCATAAAGAGATATCTAGATATCATAGCTTTCAATTACATGAGTGAAAAAAAGGGTAAAGTTAAGAGCCTTGAGTAAACCCATGTAATATATGATCATTGAGTACTGTGCCTCATGCCCGTGTATTTTGCCTGACACCAGAGACTTCTCTGCACAGGAAATGATCTATCCAATAATTCAAACTGTATGAAAGGAAGCCACACTCATGTAATTGGCCCCATGTCATTGCCAAGAACCAATTAAAGATGAAATATCATATTGGATAACCTCCCCATGAACATGGATATCTACTATAGCAATGGAAATATCATTTACCAGCTCCATGTCCTCAAGATTCTTTATTTTTGTTTCTTCTTTCATTTTGCTAATTGCTCTTGAATACAAGTTGACAATAATTCTCCTCTAATGTTATAGGGCAAGAAGACAAGTGCCTAATTGTGTTCCCATAATACAATCTAGAGACCACCACCCAATTTTGGTCCCAGCTACCTGGGGTCTTAAGAGTTAGGAGGGGTGGAATGGATACAGAGCTAACCTTTTTTTCTCTTTTTTTTTACAGAGTGTTGCTCTCAGACTTGAATGCATTCTCAGACTTGTGAGCCTGAGAATTTAAAATTACACCAAGCAATTAGTTTTGATAGACAACATTACACCAAGCAATGGCCCCTGTATGCCCATAACGTAATCTACCTTGGTAGCTACCTGATTCTATGAGAGTATGAGGATCTCTAGGAGCTTAGTCATCAATATGGTGTCTAACTTCATATTAGGGATTACCCCTCACCCCTTTGACCTTATGGTCCATTTGGTTGCCGAGAAAGAGATGGGATGGGAAGCATCTTTAAGGAATATTCTTTTTTCTCAATGTTTGTTTTCAGAGAAACGATGGGATGGGAATGGAAAACAAGGGACATGAGATCCCAAAATGAAGGACGCGAGGTCACACCATTTTGGTGAGACCCCACTGAGAAAGGCATTATTGAGAAAGTTTCGAGCTTTGTCAGAGAGATACCGGGCTCCCTCTTCATCCTTCGTCTACATGCCTTCCAACGGCTACATCTCCGATGACCTCGAGCAACAGTTGAGTTCTTCCATCTCCGGCGATTTCGACCGGCGGTTGAGTCCTTCCATCTTCGGCAATCTCGAGCAACATTTCTAGCAACATCTCCGGTGATCTCGAGCAACATTTCCAGCAACAGCTCTGGCTACATCTCTGACGACAGTTCTGTTTTCTTGAGCAACATTTCTGGTGACATCTCTAGCAAACTCAAGCGACATCTCCGGTTATCTCAAGCAACATTTCCAGCAACATCTCTGGCTATATCTCCGACAAGAGTTCTGTTTTCTCTGGCTCCACTATCATCCTTTTACGAATTTGATTTATTTTTGCACCATTTCCTCTTTTTTTTATTGAGTTCTTACCCTTTCCCATCTTAATGTCTTGCCCCTCCAGCTTTGGTCATCGGAACATATTTTTCATCACTGTCAAGTAGTGGAGTGGCCATCTCCTCCATTTGTTGGTTGGATTCATGTCTTCAAGTATTGTTTTTTAAATTTTTTTTTCAGGTCAAAACAGAAAACAAATGGGATCCTCTAATTGATTCAGTCTGAGATAATAAATCCCCTGTTGTGCATCCCTGTACAGATCAGTTTACAGTTCTGTTTCTCTTGTTGCTAATGAAGCAATGGTGTGTTGGTTTGTCTCTTGCAATATTAGATGTATGAACTTCCATGGGGAATATTGATCGATGGATGTTCTATTTTGTTGATTATCTAAAATTTCATGGTTCATTTCCTAGAAAACAAACACAAGAAGATGAATTTTGATCATTATGCTTCTTGGGAAACAAACACCGGATGCAAAATTAAGAAAAAATATATTCCTTTCTCATCCCATCCTTTCTCATTCTATCCTTTCTCATCCCATCCTTTCTCATTCTATCCTTTCTCATCCCATCCTTTCTCATCCCACCCTTTCTCAGCAACCAAACAGACCATTAAATCTAGTTTTGGGTCTCCAATCCAGTAAGGCCTATTTTTAGAGGTATCCTATAGGAGATTATCATATCTAATGTTGCCAAGGGAAACCAATATGTGTATCTGGCCCATGGACCTCCTCAGGCAACAAAGAGACAAATTTGAACCCTTGCAAGAAAACCTATTTATTGATCATCAGGAAAAAAGTGAGCATTTTATATTTACAGATTATAGAGCAATATTACCCATAAAAAATGCATCATAGAACAATCTTAAATAAATCTGAAGTATATAGTTCTTGCTGTTGCAGCAAATTTAAAAATCATTTCATAAAACAAGGGATGGGGGAAAATTCTTGGGTTCTAGTGTTCCATACCAGTAATGCGTACAATAGTTTCTCTCCCAGACAAATCAGTCACATGCTGCAATTTTAGAATAATAGAAAATGCAACAAGAAAAGACAAATCAGGAATTTTCCTGTTGGGCATGATGGTAGAAACAAAATAAGGAAATTCAATGTAAACACTTACAATGAAGGTGTCATTAAATGATGCAAAGATATGCGCAACACCAAAAACATTTTCTCCTTCTCGTACAGTTGGTCCAAGAGTCACATTTTCCTCCTTGGGCTCCCTAACCTTCCTCCTAGACTGTAAAAACCATCCAAAATTTATAGGCATAAGGAACTAGAAGTAATAAAAAAACAATCATTTCAATAAAGAAATTAAAATTTGGATAAGATTGATAGTCCATTTGTCAGCATTAAACTACCTAAAGAATAGCTAAAGAATGAAAGTTAACAACAAACAAGTTATATTCAATCAGAAAGAGAGGGAGCATATACATAAAAAAATGCAATGAGAGATGTATCTTTTCCAAAAAACATTCTTTCAGATCAGTTTCTATGATCAATCTTCAAAGCATCAATATAATCATCATAACCAAGGTTCAAAGTATCGATACATATTGACCAATATCGGGAGCTTCCCGATACACCCCTACAGAGGGTATATCGGGGTTTTGACCGGTTCAGGGGGTGGACGGTCACAGGCCCCTCTGAACCGGATTTAAAAAAACTACCAATACACCTCTACTGGCATATCGGGCGTATCGCTATTTTGAACCTTGATCATAACCAATCCTACGAAGTTGGACCAACAAAATGAATTATGTTCTTTCTTCTTTGACCCAACTGTTATACATCACTAACCAAACCTAGGCATCCTTTTGGCTATCCCTTGTAATTTTAGAACCTTTTGGCTTGAATCAAGTAAGTACTTCTCATTGGCACATTTACCAGCCTTTGTTTCATTTGGAACAGACACAAATAGCAAATCTAGAAATTACTTCCTCGGTTCCTCCCTTTGTCGCATTTAACTTGCAGCAATGACTTCTTAGTTTTAAGAACCCACACATAATATAACACAATAAACATCAAAACAAGGTTTCCCAAATAGACCCATAAATAAAAATCTCAATGGACCAAGAACATGCAGTATTAGATGCTATGCAGAAAATTCAAGTTATCTATCAATGTATCATGTACAAATTTACAGCCAAAGAGCCCCATAACACATTCAAAAGCCCAGGCATCCACCAACTGCACTTATTTCTACCATTCATAAGCATTTAAATTAGATGGCATTATGTTAAAAGGTCCCCAAGGGGATAGTGACTGAATACCCCATTCCACCAGTGATTGAACAACAAAGATGTCAATCTATGACAATGTCAAGTACATTATGTTACTATGTCATTGCTAAAAACAATTACACGGTGTAGGAAAATAAACATAGAAATCAATTCAATCCCCTTACCAAAGGCATCAAGCACCAAGCACCATATGCCACCTAAAACACTCTTTCCCAACCACATCAGCCCTTAAACCAAAGCCAGATCTCTACAGCACCCACAAGTGGTAAGCAGCATAACGTAAGTGGACAACCATTTGTTTCAATATTACATTTATGGCGTGCAAGTCCTAATAAGAAACAAGTGACGTCTCAGAAAACACACGAACAAAAACATTATTACGGAGAATTTACATAACCCACAGAACCACGCGATTTTATAAACTTCAACCTTGAGAAAACATTTCCTTGAACCAATAGTAAAGTATCCACTCTCGCAATTTTATGTTCTACATGGGGATTGAATTCCATTACCATTTACAAGTCAGGATTCCAGTAACACTCACAGAGCGAGATGTATTATTGTATCCACAACTAATCAACTACTGGGAACATGTGATTGCAAAAAGCCAAAAACAATTACGTTTCAGGAGAAATTATTTATCGATAATAACTGAGGTTAACGAGCTTCTCTTGAATAATCAGGCCAATGTAGCTGTAAGCAGCACCCAAAAATGCAAGGAAACAATCAACAAATAGATCTAGAGTGATTCTTTCTCTCTGTTGAAGATAAAGCGCTGAATCCAAACAGAATAAACCCAACATCCAGATGGTATTTAGAAGATTTATAAGTTTACTCACCATGACTGCAGAAGCGTCTGTGTTTTATCTCTCTCCGCTCTCTTCTTCGGCGCGAACAACTAGGCCAACCGGGAAAAGTATAGGCGTTATAAGAGGAAGAAGGGTTAGGGTTTAGGAAATAAAAAACTTTGGTTTGAAGGAAAAAGGCAGAGAAAGGAAGGAAAAAAGGGAAACCTATAGAAGGCTTATAAAGATTTTCATACCTTTGCTTTCTTTTCCCTACCTTTTCCTTCAAACTAAGCATATCTTATTCGAGTCAGGATTTCCTACCCACTCTCTACCCCGCCCTGAATTATATCATCAATTAAGACATTTCTATCATCAATTAAGAGATGTGTGGTTACAATCTACGGTGGGTAGAGAGTGGATAGAAAAAGTGAAAACAATTTCTTGAGTTAGAGCCATACATTTCCTAGGCTCGTATTATTGATGGGTCGGGCTCAGGCTTAAAAGCAATTTCATTATCTTATTAAAATTCGGATCAGAAGACTCAAAACTCAAAAATCAAAACAACTTCTTGTTCATGGGTCGGGCTCAGGCTTAATCTTACTAAAGTTTGAATAGGCACAGCCTAAGGCTCGAGCCTGAAACAGTGTAAAACCAAGCCCAAAGCCCGACCCATGAATAGTGTATAGGGCCTTTCGAAAGAGTAGTTTACAGCCACTCAAGCAGTGTTTGGACCACTGAATGGGCTCAGCTATTTAGGCTTCTTGACTAATAGAACTGAGTGGACTTGACATTCTTGTGGCACAACCCCTGATATCATTCATAATAGGGATGTAAATGGATCGAATTCGAATCAAATCATGCAATATCCAAATTCAAATCTGATTAAAAAATTCAATATATGATGGATATTAAAAATTAATATTTGAATTCAACCAATTAATTATTTTAGTTAATTAACAAATATATAAAATAAATATTTTGTTTATATAAATTATTAAATATATAAATTATTTATATAATTTAATTATTATATATAAATTGTGTAAAATATTTAAATATTTTATATATTATATATAAGAATAAAATAATTGGTTGAATTTGAATATTTATTGAATCGAATATGGTCATATCTGAATTCAAATCCAATTAGCTATTTGGTATGAATAGGATATCCAAATTCAACCGATTAGATATTTGAATTATTCGAATTCGATTCGATTATGTCGGGTCTCGAATTCGAAAATGGATTTTTTAATACCGTTGACACCCCTACTCCAGAATGTCTCCAAACGTGTCAAAAGGATTTCTTGGGCCTACAATGCTATCAATGGAAAACTTAGGGATGGAAACAGGTGGGTTTAGCACGGGGATCATATTCCCCGTCCCTGACCCCGATTTTGGAATAAATCCCTATTCTCGATCCGGATCCCCAAAATTTTTAGTTAACAATATTTTTTGAAAAATAAATTTACTTAAAATAAATAAAAATTTTAAAAATATAAATAATATAACTAATATCACATATATAATATATATTTAATATGAATAGTAATTAATATATATATAATCCGGGTCAAGGTAGGGCAGGGACTTCATTCCCCATCCCCAACCCCGACCTTGGTCGGGAATCCCTATTAATCCTTGTCCCCATCCCTGCCCTACCAAAGCAATCCACATCCCCAAACCCATCAGGTCGGAGAAGTTAGGTACCCGTCGGGGATAAGGAAAATTGCCACATGCAAAAATGGTGTGAGAGATGATGGTCATGCCTTAAGGCCCTAACAATTAGCTTCAATGTGGGCCATCCTAATGGCGTGAAGTTCACCTTCCTAGGCCTAGGGTTGTCAATTGATCAGGGTATCGATCCAACCAGATCTAGTTCAATATGAACCCAATAAATATTTCAAATTGGAGTGGCCCAATTCAATGTCTTATTGGACCGTCCAACCAATTCAAATTGGTTTTAATTCAGATTGTACCCAACCCAAACTTGGTCCATTGACACACCTACTCTTATCTTTCGCCAATGGACTGGATATTGGTTCAACTTAAACCAATCCAATATAAATCCATTACAGTTGGACCAAGTCCAATCCAATCCAATAAATACTTTTAACTATTAAGTCTCGACAAGTCCAATTCAATACGTCTTATTCGACCATCCAACCCATTCAAATTGGTTTTGGTTCAAATGGGACTTGGCTTGTTCAAATTGGCTTTGATTTGGATGGAATCCAACCCAAACTTGGTCCATTAACACCCCTACCTAGGCCAAACCGCAAAGAGTGGCATTGCCCATAGCCATAAGAGGAGCACTCGGCCCAGAGAATGAGAGGGACCACAAAAGCTATACCTACCTAGAGGTGTAAATCGGGTCGTGATGCACCGGCCCGACACAACGGAACGTGGGTCGTGCCAAGCCTAACACGATGGTCCAAGCCGTGCTAGGCCTAGGATTCCAGGTCTACGGGTCGACACAGCCTAGCACGGCCTGCGGGCCGCAGTCGACCCACCCGATGAACTAGCCATTGGGGGGACCAATGGCTAGTTTTAGCTTTTTAGGGTTTTTTTACAGAAATACCCCCAATAGCTATAAATGACTAAATAAGGGGTATTTATGTATTTTAGTTTGGAGGGAGAAAGAATGACACAAATGCCCCCCAACAGCTATATAATAGCTAGTTTGGGGGCATTTTAGGTAAAATAATAACTAACTTTACAATAACCAAAATACCCCTCTTAACAACTAAAAAATGACTAGTTTTTTAGGGTATTTTGGGCGATTGAATTATTTTCAATCCCTATAAATAGCCCTATCCTCCACCATTCTCATCACACCATTTCAACCATTCCAATAAATAGTCATATCCTCCACCATTTTCAATTCCTACAATGATCAAAGTCAAGAACAATAGGAGAAAATGATGAAGTCAATAATTTTTGTATACTAAATAGTTGTATAACATTTTTTTCAAATTATTGTAAATTTTGTTTTAATTTTATTTAACTTATTTGATATTTTTTAATAACGTAATTTTTTATTTTCAATTTGTAACTATATTGTATTTTTTTATTTTATTAATTTCTTCCATTTTCCAATTTTCATATTTCATTCATCCAACCATTGTATGCTTTGTATCATTCAAATTTAAATGAATTAAAATTCTTATGTTTCTTCCAATTTGTTATTCACTTTAATTCTTTATCTCTTTGACTTCTTATTTGGTTAAGTATTTTTTTTATTTCTTTGTTAGATTTCTTTATTTTTTCAAATAATTCACAAAGGAAAGTTAAATGTTTTAGTTTTATGTAGCAAAGAAATAAAAAAATAAAAAAAAAACCAGTCTGGCCCAATTCAGCCCATGCCTAAGACCCAGCCCGTGGCCTAGTTCAGTATGACCTTTAGCCTGCCCAGCCCAGCCCCGCAGCACGGCACGGGCCTACACAGGCTTGGGTCATGAGCCATGCCGGGCCAATCCCCAAATCATCCCTAGAGAGGGGTGACACGGTTTGTTTTACACCTCCATACTGCCTGGTTGAGAAGGCTGCACCACATAGAAACACCAAAAGAGGAGGAGGATCCAAGAATCTCAAGCAACTACGAGATGCCAAGGAATAGGGTCTTTAGAATCAATTCTTACCATAAGAAAAAAAAAAATCATAACTAGCGCATCATGTCAAAGCACCTTAGGTTTGTTTAGCTGAATAGACCAAACTGTCAATCACTTTAGCATTCACATGCATGACTTCACATATGTTGCAACTGTTAATAAAACACAGTCATGACCCCCCGTTGCTTTTAACTCAAAACATAGAAATGTTATGCTGTATCATTCTATTACTTTTGCGTGTTTGTGTATGTATATTTTATTGGGTAGTTGCAAGGAAGTGTTGCAGGAAATATCCACATAAATAAAAAAAAGGAAATATGGTGGATAACATAGCTGTATCTCCCATGTTTCAGGAAACAAAAAAGAATTTCCATTATAATGCCAGTGAGATGGTTTTAGGCCATGTTTAGTTTAGCTATTATTTTTTCTCATTCTTTTCGATGATAAAATTCTATAATGAACAAAAATAGGTAACATCCGCAAAATGGGAAAATGTTGTCATAAATCAAATACTTTTTTCCAACACAAAGTGATTTTCTTTTTGATTCCATTGTTGATTTGTACTCTTTATTTTATTAGGTGGTCTCAAGAAAGTGTTGTGAGCTTGTGACCATGGCTACAACTAAGGTTCAAAGTTTCGATGCATATCAGGCTATATCGGTCGATACGTATCGTATCAAGGGCTTCCCGATACACCCCTCCAAGGGGTGTTTTGGGATTTCGACCGGTTCAAAGGTGGATAGCTAAAAAAGTTAAAAAAGACTATTGATACTGTTCAATACACTATCGGCATATCAGGCATATCAATATTTTGAACCTTGACTACAACATATGTAAACTTCACATACATGGCTACAACATATGGTCCCAATAAAGGTTTTGGAGATTAGGATGAAATAAAGTATTTTGAGCTATTTTGAAGTGTTGATAACCAATCCAACAGCCCATTAGATAGGCAGCATTTTTTTATCCCTCAAATATTCACTGTTGCCAGGCCTCTTTCAAATAGACTAGAAAAGAACAAAGTTAGGGGTGTCAATGCACGGTTTCAGCATAAATTGCCCCAACCCAACCCTAACATTTTCTTTATATAACACACTTAACCAAGTTATATATGCAAATAATTCAATGTTGTAATGCCAATGGGTTGGTTTCAGATACCTCAATCCGAACCAACCCAAACTTGATTAAGGTGGTTTCAACCATAACCCATTAGGGTTGGATTAGTGTGGGTTTACCACTTAAATAGAGTCTTTAGTGGGCTAAAACTTAAAGAGGGATGGCAAATTAGGTGATATAAATTATTAACACTTTCTGGTTAAATTATCAACTAAGACCCCCAAACTATATAGTAGTGATACATTTTTTTTTCTGTTTTTTTTTTTTTTGAATCATCAAACAAAGAAGGATCTATTCAATAAAGCAACAATACATCAATGAGTTAGCTACCTAGAACTATCAACATCAGATTGAGCCAAGGACCTTAATTAGTTAAGGCAATTAAAAATGAAAAGACCTTATTCCTAGAGGCCTATTTTCACTACAAGAAAATGGATCTATAGCTACTACAATTTAGTTACGGACACAAAAAAGCATAGCTAAAACATAGGATATTGCCACCGACATAATTATATCCA